TTTTTTTTGACTCAACCAACTTCATCCCAAACTTTGGTTGCAGGAATGTAAGCAAGCAGACTTTTGACCAATGACGACACCTCGCAGCAGCCGAAAAACGTAGACCTTCATTTCTTAATGTTGAAGTAACTAGTCCATCAGATGGACTCAAACCTAACTACCGACCCATATTTATAACGCAGCAATAAATTATATGACTGACAGAAGCAGTCAGGGGCTAAAAAACAGAAGCAGAATCCCAATATTTGGCACTCTTATAAAACAAGAGTAAAAAAATTTCTTTGAGAGCTCAGATACTAAAAGTTTTTGTACAAGGAACCCTTTTAGCTTGTAATCCCCATATGCTGAGGACAACTGAAGTTTTCAGACCGTAGCCTCCAGTGACATTTTGAAACCGCGACTTTTCCCACCAAACAGTAAAAAAATTACCAAATACATTCCACTTCTGCTTGCATCATTGATGCTAAAATTATGACCCCCACGGTATATAAGAACAGAAGGAATTGTTTAAGGACACTCTTCTTAATAAATTAGAGGGCAAATAAAAACAAGGTTTCTCAACTGCTTTCATTTTAATTCAGTGCACCATAAGAGCTTTGAAATACACTGGCCGCAAAAAACGTCAAGATTTACAAACGCGTCATACTGTGCTTCTCAATCGAGTTCCACAACACCAACACTTCCCAAAAAAATCTATCCCCGCTTTTAAATTACCGTAGTACACCTTAACACAGTTAACTGCCGTCACTTTTTAATGACTGTCTCTTCCCCTCCCTCTCCTTCAATGCTGTTTTCATAAATCATTTCTTCTTGAAGAGCTTGTCAAATAATTAGTTTTTCAATAAATGTGCCCATATTAATACATGGCGACCAGACAACCAGCGCATCCAAACACAACGCGGGGTCCGTCTTACACTCAACTGGCCGCTTGTCACACATAAGACGATGTCTTCCTAGAGGTCCAGAAAGAAGAAGACAATTCAACGCGCAGGCTTTCCGCATACCATGTCTCCTTTTTTTCTCGTAGACATGATTACCCCTGACCTGATTTCTGTGGGCCCTCCAATGGTAACTCACTTTTGCAGATTTCTAAACTGCGATTTTTCTAGTCAAAAAATCTGCTGCGTGCTTAACTGCTTGACCAAAACAAAATATCACTCGCTAAATCCCCCTGTAGCTTCAAATGCAACTGAATTATAATAACAAAAACTACTGCTACAGTAAACTGCAAAAACACTGCATCTCAAACATTCCCTCTTTTTTGTAAACATGACTACGAAGACCACGCAACCTTCCATT